TATTTAGTCCTGGCAGACTCTCTTCCACCCCTTCCCAAAACCAGAATTCAGTTCTGATACCAGGTGTGAAGCAAAACTACAGCTCAGAGCAGAAAATCAGGACCTGATCTTGCAAAAACAAACAGCTTCCCCTTACAACGTGTCCCAAAGACATGCAATAAACCCCAGCCCTTAGCAGTGCCTTCTATAGTGAGGCCTGCAGAACTGCATTGATGTTGCTCAATTAGCCATGAGAAAAAATGCTAGGAAAAATGGAAAATAATCTAGAACAAACAGATTAGATCTGGAGATACTAGTCATAATATTTGCTTCCTTCCTGTCTTCTCTCCGCCTTAGTGCTCCCCTCCCCACCAAGTATTTGTTGTAAAAGCAGATTTCCCATCTTCTCTTTCCAACTAGCAATCTAAGGGGAAAAAGACAGGGGGGTGGACGGGGGGAAGAGAAAGATTTCCTATCTCTGCACATTCATTGTAAAAGTTTCCAGGCACAATAAACCCTGTGGGCATGGAAAAATACATCAGTGCTTCTTCGTCAGGCTTGAGGTTGCTGGAGGATAATCAGTAAAACATGTCTTTCAAAAATCAGAGGAAAAGCATGAAAACATTTCAGAAGGAAAAAATCCCACCAAATGATGCAAAAGGACTGTATTCAGAAGGAGGGAAGGAGGACCGGGGAAACAAGGTGCAGGACTTTTCATGAGTAGACAGAGCTACTTATTTTGCAGAAAAATCTATTGTAAGCAGCTTTTCTCTCTAATCAATTAGGTACATGCATTACTATCAGATGGAGTGAGCAGCTGTGCCTTCAAAGAACCCCAGTGATGTATCTTTCGATTCTGGAAGATAATTCATATAGTGCATGGAGAAGAAAAACTCTGTACCCTGCAACTTTAATCTTTTCCCAAATAACCACCTCAGCATCAGGCTTCTTTGACGTACACTGTAAACCGCCAGAACTTCTAACCACATCAGGTACACACACAAAATACATACGTAAGGATGTAGAGTTGGCCTAGAAGGATATAATAATGCATAGCTCCTAGAGCAGAGCTGTGTTATTGAACTTCAAGCTCACATCCTCCCCCAAATCACCTTGTTTGAAATCTGTGACCATTTCTGCGGATAATCTTCCATCTTTGTGAACTGCAAAGAAGATCAGCAAGTTCCAAGTAAACTCAGCCAGTGAAATATCGTCTATGTTGCATTTCAAGTGGTTGATGTTAGTTGTGAATTCCTGAAGGAATTACTTAGGCTCAGCTTTGTGATGTCCTCCTTGGGCCCTTCATCCACTTTGGCTGCTAATGCCTAACGGAGCTAGCGAAGAGCACCTAACGTCTGCCTTTCAGAGACCAGAGAGAAGTACTACCATATCCCCTGTGCTGCGTCTCAGGAACTTCCTACACCCAAAGGCTGGAAGGGTACTAGAATACACTACAAATTACTGATGGAAATTTGGTGCTTTGCCTAAGAAACCTTTCCTGAAAACTGACAGGTTAAAGACACTCATGAGCTGACACTAGCAGCAAAATGACAAAGTTCCTGAAGAGAGCCAACTGTTTTTTCATATTTTTTTTTTTTTTAGAAAATACTCAAAGGACCAAATGTTTTTTGATTAAGCTCTTGAAATAGGATGAGGCTTTCCAATTACTCTAGGAACTACAGAAGTTCAATAAGCACTGTGAATTGTCAACTAGAAGAACTGCCTTCACCAGCACACCAAGGATCTTGTCTTGAGGAGAGCACCTATGTAATGCACAAGGGATGAACAATGGTCTAAATATCTTATAACAGTTATTTACACCTAAACAACAAAGGTATTGAAATAGATAAAGACAATCTTACTCAAGACACAAAGCATTGAGATGCAGCTCAGAAGAGCTTATGTCAACACTCATTGGACACAACTCTTTTCAGGATAACAAGAATCAACAGGTTCAAAATGCTAAAAATAGCTCGTTTTTTTCCTACTGTGAAGAACTGGAGCCGGACTCAACCTCTCCCCCCTCCTGATGGGAAACAGACTGTTCTCAGGTAAACACAGTTAACTGCAGGTTCCTCCCACCTTGCACAATGGATTGACACCTCCTCCCCCCCAAAAAAAGGATAAGAAGCACTGCAGTCCTGACAATGACCAGCCACCAGTGTCATTATACCCCCAAGTTAAATGCAATCAATCTACTGTGACATAGGCAAAACCAAAACTTTTTTCCCCATTCATCACTGCATTAATAGAATCTTATGACATCTACAGTTAAGTATTATGAAGAATATCACAGAGGAAGAGTCTTTCCAGGTCAGTAAAAGTCTTCACTATGAAAAATAAGTCACAGGCAAGGAAATGAGTATTCTCTCACCCACATGATCACGTTATTTCTGGAAAGCACTAAGAGTCAATTCCCTAGGAGAAAGGCATTTCAAAGAATGTAAATCCACTTAGCAGAAATAAAAATGGATGTTAACTTTGTTTGTTTCTTTTGTCCAGGTGAAAGGCAATCCAGAGAGCCTTAAAGTGGTAAAGCTCAGGAAACATCAAATCTCAGCAGCTGCACTGGTGAATAACTGATTTACTTTTGTCACCTAGAAGAGAAAGTGCAGCCCTTTAGCCACAAAGACAAATCTTAGGAAAGTTGGAGAAATGAAGAAAACCATTCCAAGCTGAAAATAATGATAAATTCAAATAAGAGACAGCCTGTCCTCACTGCAATGTTAATTCAAGCACTGCCTCAGCTGTGACAGAGACAAGAATCTTCTGCTTAAATTAGGTAGTACCTTAACTCTAAGCTTGCTGGCCCAGCAGCACAGTTCAACCACCAGTGATTCTTGCACTGCCAATAACAGCAAGGCCTTAGCTAATGCACATCGCTAACCTCGTCACAGCTGCTGCTTGACTGCTGTTCAGCAGTAAGAACACAAAAAAGGGAGGAAAAAACCTCAACCCTCAAATAAAGGGTTGCACTGAGTCAGACTATAGATGATCTACCCAGTCTCCTGCCTCTTAGCAGTGGCCAAGATAACAGTCTTACAACAGGGCAGGCATGGTGGGAGCAGTGCTTCTCCTGAGTACTCCCTTCAGCTGCCAGCAACAGCAGCTTGGGGATTTCCTGAGCCAAAGGTGGTGTCTTTGTACTTAATAATCTTCTGTGGATTTTTCTGTCAGTGCAACAAAACAAACTGAGTAAGTCTTAAGTGGAAAGATAACTTAAGGAATTCAAATGCCACAAGAAAAAATAAAGGTAAAGGACTGGCAAGCAGAGTTAGAAACTCGACTGTCCCTGGCAAGAAGAAAAAAGAAAACCCTTGCACAGAACTTCAGTCCAAGTTTTATGTTATCCACTACCCTTTGAGAATCAAGAGTTTCCCATCAGTTTTTCTTTTTGAGTTCATGTAATCACAAGATAAGAATCCTAGAGGCAGAGCTATTACTCAGAAGTTCAAACATATCAGCTAGGAGAAGAATGCAGATTCTCCTACGCTGGCAAGAGACAAAAATGCTGTTTTTTTCATTAAAATATTTCAAAAGGAGAGTAATTCTTTTGCAAACTGAAATATTTAAGGTGATCCTAACTTAGTTGGCAAGTCATTATGCTTGGGTTGGACTTTAGTACAGTATTTACCATTCTGACAATACGTAAAAGAAAATGAAAACTAGTTTTTACTTTGCACTTTTTTCCCCTGTTTTCCAGGCCTACAGAGTTTAACGAAAGACAGCAGCGATTTGATACAACTGTGCTATATAGAAGCTTCCCTAACTGAAGCTATAAACATGTAACAGGGGACAGCTCTTTTCCAATTTAAGACGAAGCTTCCTTGATTTCTTCCGAACGTTATACTTTTCAAGAAACAGACCAAGAAGTGTATGTTTTAAAATATTTATTTTTCCTCAGACATCATTGTCACTCTTAATGCTTTCTAGACACTCCTTAACAGCAGAGACTAGAAGAAGAGATCAGGAAGCACAAAACCAGCACTGACTTCAAGTGCTAGAAATCTAGGTGCCATGAAGCTCCTACCAAGCTGCTGTGTTTGTGTGAAGCGCTATTCCACGTGTCACTCTCCTGACTATCACATCCTAACAGACTTTAAGACATACTCTGTTCTCTCCAGCTGTAGGAAGGGGAAAGCAGCCGTCCTTTCATCGCTTTCTCAAATTTCTTGACCAAAGAGATAGGCAAGGGGAGGTGCCAGGGGGGGGTCTGGCTGTGGGGGGGGGGGGGCGGGGGGGGAGGGCAGGGAGGCAGAACAAGGAAAAAAAAAAGAGGCTGTACCACCAATCAGGGAACAATTTTCCTATCTACTTCTCTTACCCACCACTGATTTCCAAAGCTACAATAATTTGTATTGACAGTATCCTTGTCAATTCAAGACAGTACTAGTTAATGATATTAATTTCCCTCTGGTTCTTCTTGAAAAAGATACCAGCAACAATGAAAACAGCTCTGCTAGCTTCATTCACAGTAGCAGAACAACTTCAGTAAGTAAATTAACACTTTTTAAATTATAATTCAAAGAACCAAGCTTTTTCAATATACAACCCCCAAATACTGGATGGCTTGACAGCTGCATCAGATGATCATTTTTACTCTTTATCACATCACAGTGAATTTCAAGATCCTAACATTGGCTAATTCTTAATAATTGCAGAATAAAATTATTTTCACACCGGCCAGAAATATTATTTACAGCACTGCTACCACTATTTGACTTACAACACCATCTGAATATTGAATAATTAGCAGTACTGATGTAACTGCAAACTGATAGAGTGCAGTACAAGACCTAGCTCTCTACAGTCTAGTAAAGTAACTGTTCCTTAAATACTGTCATTAGTTCTTACTTTCAGTCAGGCCCCTGCCAAACCTAGCTCACACAGGCAGTCCTGCTGATTTCAGGACTATCTACTGAGTGAGGTTACTCCCACAAGAAGGAATCTGCAGGTCTAGACCCTTCCATCTTGATTTATAAGCATGTAGCACATGAGTCTAGCAGGAATTTAACACTTACGCTTCCACAGTTGTTCTTACAGTCTGTTCCTCACCATCTTCATCTGAGCTGCTACATGTTGCATCAGAGTCCAGATCCTTCTCCACACGAGACAGCAGCCCTCCAGTAGAAAGTGCAAACCCCCGGATTTCACCTGGTGCAACGCTAACTCCATTCTGTACATCCGTACTCAAACTACTCTCCAAAGTAGTTGCGCTGTTTTCTGGCCAACCTTCAGTGCACCTGAGGGAGCTACTGCTCAAAAACCTGGTTGGCTCATGGAAAACCTTCATTCTTTGTAGCTGATGTTTCACGAAGCATTTCAGCTGCTGATCACAGTGTTTGATAACGTGCTTTGCCAGGAGCATTTGTAAACGTTTCTGAGTTCTTTTGGCGCGACTGATTTCCATTTGTTGCTTAGTGACACACTGGAGTAAGCGAGCATACACCTCCTCCGGGGTGCAGCTCAAAATCCCTTCTGAAGGCCCGTGAAGAATTTGGTGTAATAAATCCCCTTTTATTGTTTCAGCGCAGACTTCCAAAGCCCTACCCAAAAAACCATTCTTCTTGTACCATTTACCATTTAAAAGCTGCATTTCTTCTGCATTACTGGATTCAGTTACATTTGAATCCAAAAGTCTCTGCGTTTCTGCCAAATTCGGAGATGCGGTCTCTGAAAATGTTTCCCTTTTGACCTGTTCCTCAGGTTCTGAATGACTAATCTGACCAAATGATGTGTCAGCACCATTATGTAATGAATTTCTCATCTTGGAGCAGTCGGGCTCTCCTGCTTTCGTTTGCTTACCGGTCTTGTTGCTAAACGCAGAATTTGTACTCATTAACAAGACAGACTGATAGCGCTTGGAGGATGGTGGAGAACCAAAATGCTGCACACTGAAGATATCATTCCTGAGGTTGGGCTCAGCAGTGGGGAACCCCAGGACTGAGCAAGTAATCTGTGCGATGGAGTCCTCTTTTATCTTCTCTTCCACTGCTCTGGAATTTTCCATGCACAAAGCTGTATCAGACTCCATAGCTCTAGAGGACAAAGAAGGTGACAAGTGGATACCATGACCTTTTGTTGCTGCCTCTCTGAGGGCTGGTGTCATTATAGCTACGGTAGGTAGTTTACAGCAAACCTGAAAATAACATGGGCCACGTAAATTTTCTCATTTTCATGACACGGTACAAAAACAACAACTCTGTCAGATATTTCAGTCTTTCAACATTTCAACATTATTCAAAGATTCCATAAAAAAAAGAACATTATCTAAAGAACACAGACAGACTACACTCCCCCCTGCCCCCCAAGTCAAACAAGAACACTCTTCCTGGTTTTTCTTTATTTCATTCAGAGGTTGTTCCATGTGCAATGAAAGCCTTTACCTCTCAGGGGAGTAAGTGTTCATACCTCATTGCATTTCTGATCTTATCAGTCTGAGAAATAAGACTCACAAAGTTCAAGACTGTCACCTAGCCTTGCCCAAACTGAAAAACATGACCACAGGCCACGTGACTGGAAGGATGCATTTTAAAATACGTGTGCGAGTGTATGTATATGCACACAGAGACACAGATCTACACATTCCCACCCCAGAACTCTGGCTGGATTTTATTTTAATCTGCTCTAGAGATAAGTTACTTTTTGAGTTGCATTTGGTTTTTGTTCAGGTATTTTTTTTTTTTTATACTCAAATGAGTCAACATCAACAGTATCACAGAAATGGGAGCTATGCAGCTACCTATTACAAGTTCAGCAAAGCAGAACACCTATCACATGATTAAACACTCTGAAATAAATTCAGAGCCACTATTGGGAGAAATATATTTAATGTAAATCATATAAAACAAGCATTTGATTATATATTCTCACAAATACACTGTAGAAACCAATCATCAAGGCTAATGCTTTAAAAACAGAGAACTAAGTTCTAAATGTTTCCTTAAAATCTTTCCTGTGTCTTTGTATCCAGTTCTTCCTTATTCATCAGGCACTGCCTGCATAATACAAACAAATATTCTTTGATAACAATTTGAGTAAAGACAGGTTTTCCTTCGCAAACCCTTTTGCCTGTGGCTTGCCATAGCTTGGACGAAGGGTTGCCAAACTTTGGGATCAAAAGACCGCTGTCAACCTTCACCACTTCTTGTCAGCAGCTGTGCTGCCATGTCATACTGTATCTATTCCACAGCCTACAGAGCAGGAATCACTGCCTTACACTGTACTTTCAGCTTTGTTTAGGAGATGGTTAAATAAACCCAATGAAAGATTTAATTGAACATGGCCTGCAGAAGCCTGAAAGATAAGCTACTGTCAGTTCTTCATTAAGAAGCTAGAGACAAAACCAGAAACAGTAAGAATAGCAACAGAAGTGAGTGTAGCACAGTACTTCCACAGCAAATTCTCTGTTTAACCAGTGTACTAGTTGAGCAGCATTTCCATTGCCCTCCTTTTAATGTCTTCAGTGTCTTTGATCTCCACAGCAACTGCCTAGCTCAGCAATTTTCAACGCACAGATCCCATAAGGGGTCAATGATTCTGAGCCTGCCACATATGGATTTTAAGAAAAGCAAACTCCCTGTCTGAAGCCTTAGCTTGTTTATAACTACAGGTTTTACGCTGAAGCTGCAAACATTAAAGGGAGATATGGAAACCTAAAGAGCTGAGAAGTACCAGTCTAGATACTTTCTCCTTAACCCTCAAAACACGAAGAAAAACATAAAGAGCCACAGGCTCCAGTACTGCCTTAACACTCTCCATATGCCTTATTCACCTTTCATTGCTCCATGTATACTTCAACCATGAGGTTTTCATCTCTGTACATCACCTACCCAGCATCACAGGGACCAGGTTTGGTGGTCCGAATGCTAATACTAAACAATACTATTGAAATCCCCAGGATTTTAGATTTTATCAACGAGCTAATAACTTCAGACTATACAGGAATTCAGCACAAAGTCCTCCCCAGTATACAGCCATTCAGTAAGAGCCCCATTACTAGGATCAGACAGGGAAATGCACTGATGAGAGCTGGACCCCCACATTGCAAAGGCTCTGGTGACTCGACAATGCTCTCAGCATCTGGCTGACTCATGGCTTTGTGTCTTTCCACTCTTGTTAAGAGCTAGCAGGCACAAGAATTTTTAAATGCAAAGAAGTGTGGATTCAGACACC